TGCCTGTTGATGGAAGTAATTGTTGGCTCTAACTCCTCATCACAGTCAAGCCTATATGTTCTAGTCATGCTTGTTGATGCTATATATCCAGCCAAGTGGCGCCCAATGCTGTGGCCATTGATCCAAATCAGATGGTACTCATATCCAAAGCTAAAGGATCATTGCCTGCCAGTGCATTGAAAGTAGTCTGCAGAACAAATATTTGGTATTAATATATCTGGTATACCATTAATTTTTAACAGTAGTGGAAATGAACTGATTAGAAATTGTTCTCACCTTGTACCATGTCAATGGTTGTTTTTGGGCCAACGATGATCGTTCTACCCATTCAACAGAAAGGCTTCAACTAACGGTATGAAAGCTTAAATCTTCACCTTTCAGACCAATCTGCTTAGATCATACAGTACATTTTTAGCGAGCTTGTGATAAATATCAGTGTGAAAAACTTGTACTCGAGAAATACTCAATCATTTATGACCAACTTCCTGGCTACATCTGCATTACCTGTTGCTTTTTCAACATTCAACATCATTTAGACAAAGTATACTCACTTTATTTTACTGTTGCTTTTCCAACATTCAACACCATTCTAATAATTTCAAGGGTTCAACAAAATCAATAGTTCACAAGCAAGGGTGTAGTACTATCTGCAGTAATGGCTTTATATATTGTATTAACAATTGGATCTGGTGTGAGTCCTCATTGGACGTAGAAATAATGCATTCAAGCAAAAATTCTTTTCCAGAATAACCCACTAACCTGTCTACAAAATATAGCACAAGCCATAGTTATGCAAAAGACCTACCAGAACCCTAAATTTTCAGTATGGTGAAAGGTAATATATTTCTCTTGAATATTTATAGACATACCTTGTAAGACCATTTCTGTTTAGACAAGTCTCTCGTCCCCTCATTGAGACCCTTCAATGTTACTGGACCTAGCACACCAGCATTCCATTGCTCGAAATGTGTGCCTACATTCTGAGAATTTGATGATGGAAAGAGTAAACTGTCATACTTCCGAGTTGTCAGCAGTGTTCAAAGAATAGAGGCGCATCAGAAAATGAGAAAACTGACCTGAAGACCCACAGATAATACTTAACAAAGAAATCCGGTTCTCACCAACTCTCATTTTGACATTTTGACTGAAACTTAATTTTGGATTGTCAACTCCACCATAAACAGTTCCTGAATTAATGATAAAAGCTAAAGTGAGTTGGTGATAAGTGAAGATACACAAGATTTTCATTTGACATTAGTACTCAGCCAACTTATGATAGTGTCTCAATCTTCCTATTACCTGATAGTTGACCATTAATGAAAACATGCAGTGCATGACCTGCAGACCAAATGTTGAGAAGAGGATCCTGTCCATTATTCAGAAATCCTTCATTAGCGTCTATATTTAATTATTTACACCGAGTGGGACACAGAAAACATATATTGATAAAAATCAGTTTCAGAAAGATTATAAAAACTAATTTTAAAATTAAGAAGTTAAATGTGTGAAGGAAGCCAAGAGGTGATTAGTCAAGACTATTCACTTTGTCATATACCACAAATAATCCGAAGCATCTCTAGTCACATTTAGTTGTTCCCACAGCCCATCAGTGGTAAAAGTTTTATCATCGCTAGAAGAGGCACTTTCTTCAATGTATGACTGCCAAGAAAATTTGCTGATGGACCAAGTTGGCAGTTCATATTTCATATTTTGAAAGTCCACTTTTACCGAGTATGTTGTGTCATAGTTAGCAAGGAATGCCGCACAAGATCCAGATTCTGGGTTAAATACTTGAGCCTGTAGATAATTATAGTGATTAGAAGTTTAATTCTCAAAGATGGAAACCAAGGCTTAAGTCTGGTTTTCTCCTACTTTGCTCAAAGGCTTACCTCTTGATTTTTTCCGAGCGAAGTCACTGTAGATCTTATTTTAAGAAGTTCTAATATGATGAATTGTTAAATTTGTTTTTACAAACAAAAAGGATATGAAAATTAACAGTTAACTTACATATTCATTTGATGTTAAATGATTATAAATAATATTTTGAGTATATAATCTTATAAATATAAATACCAAATTAAATTAAAATGTTGAACTTATTTTAACATGAATAGTACATACTTGAAATAAATAAGTAAAATGTTTAATTTATTTGACATAAAAAAATTCCCGTTAACAAATGGACCTGCCCATTTTTTATGGATTGGCAAAAGGCCGGTAGTTTGGAAGCTGGGCTTTTGCGGGCTGAATCTGGGCTCTCTCCTAATCGGAACTTTTTATTAGCTTAGGAAATGAGATCTTTTATTTTTTTACAAAATTTCATTTCTAATTCAACCACCAAAAGTAAAACGAATAAATCTTTAATAATACAACTTTATATTGTCAACATCAAATCTTTCATATGATGAAAAACAGTTTCTCAAAAGCGATTATATGTAAAATCACATCTTTATTACGTTGACTTTTTATATAAACGTAATATTTACGCACATAATTACTTTTAACTTTTATAGAAGTGATTGTTAGATGCTTTTTCTAAAGCTTTTCAATAATTTTGCTTTAAATTAAAGCATTCCTTGTTGAAAAATAAATTTCTTAGCTAATTAAAATTATAGACAGATTTTATGTCTAAGAAAATATGCCAAAATGTTCCCTTTATAAAAAGGCAATATATATATCATTTTGGACCATTCAATTGAGAAGAAACTTAGATTCGAATAAATCCAATTTGGATTTGTTCATAAATTTTCATTTAATGTTCTTTTTATTAAGGGTGCCCATAGAAAGCAACATTTTTATTTTCTATTTATTCCTTTCGTATTAATTTGTTTGTCTTTTCAGCCACCCACTCCACATTTTTTTGTTCCTTTTTATTTTATTATTATTATGTGATCTAAATTAATCTAGAAAAAAATTGGTATATACTGGGGGTAGTTGAGCCTTTAAACTTCCCTTTTTGTCATCTTCTAGATTATCTCTAGAAAAAAAATATATATATATTCACATCGTAAATTATTTGTTTCAAAATAATTAGGTTTAAATGCACTGAAAATAATTAAAATCACAAAATTTAAAGGAAATTAATTAGGAGAAATATCATATTAGATATATATATATAAAAAAAAAAAAAAACGTATAAAATAAATTTAAGCATATTTTTTATTAGTTTTTGCAAATTAAATTTACGTATTGAAAATAACGTTATCTTTCATGTGATTGGTTGAAATATAATTTAATTACAAATAATATTATACCAAAAACATAAAAATGTATGTCTAAATGTGCAGTCAAATCTTGGTGACATCTTCATATTGATTATTGTAGTAAAATTAAGAGAATTGCGCAGGAAAATCATGTGCAATTTTGGTTGCTTAAAGCAAAAGCATCATGCTCAAATTATCATATATTAAAATATACTACAAGTTACCAAAGCATTATATTTAATTGGCTGTCGGCTTTGTCCCAATAATCAAGACTCACCCACTCTTTTGCTTTTGTTTTTGAATAAACGACTTTTTCCCACCAAGCAATCGTTTAATGACACTTTGTCATCCACATTTTTTAAATACTATTTTATTATCAAAATTTATATTTTATATTTTATTTTGGTATCATTACGATTTCACAGCACTATCATTCTCTTTCTTGATTATCACTCATTAAAACTCCTCAAACTCTATCTATCGAAAATCGAGCGATAAAGGTTTTACACAATCGTTCCTCCTAAGTCAAATTTCGATCAATCACATCTACCAAAATACAATCTTCCACTACCAAAAGATTCATCGGTCTCTCCTCTTCAAAAGTATTAATAGCTTGGACAAAGTTTGCTCTATGTTCGTGCTAGAATATAAATTTGAGTTGTAAAATAATATTTTAAAAGTCTGTGGGTGAGAAAGTGTTATTAAATCATTATTTGGGTGGAAAAAAGTCGTTAACTCCTTTTTTGGTGTTTTAAAGTTTAATGATATAAATGCCCCAAAGTATGATATGATAACAACATTCATTTTGAGGTTTCCAAAACATCATAAATTCCCCTATTATTAATAAACTGTTAGTGAACTATTAAAACTTGTATTGATATAAGTTTCGTACATATTACCAAATGACTCTCGTACCATTTATCTTAACACCTAAAATAAAACTTAACAATAGGGGGATATCTGTTATTTCTGAAACTCTAAGTGAGATTATTGCTATTATATTATATCTGAAGGGGATTAATGTTATTAATCCAAAATATATATATATAGCATTGAATGGAATGGAATGGTGTGAAAAATGTGAATGTCTTTATTTGAATTTTTAATGGTGTTTGGACGGAGAGAAAAAAATAATATTGAATCAGGAAAATTATTAATTTGTTGTGTAATTTGATAATCCTTATTATTTCTGCCCTTAATGGCTATTATAAACTATTAAAAGCCAGAGAACTATCTTTTAATTAATTATAAAATTATCATTTTTCGATAATAGTCTTATATTTCTCTCCTCAAATACGAGCATTCTTGTGTCACGTATCCATTTTTAGAAATATATTAGTGAAAATATGCTTTTATTTTAGGTCAAAATATATAGGTTTTAATTTGTAAATTATTTAATATAAAAAAAATTTAAGTTGATATTAAAATTTTGGAAAAGATTAATTGCACGATGAAATATACTCAAATTTTATGTAATAGTCAAACGTTTAATGTTGATATGAACACTAAAGAGAACAGAAAAAAAATTATTGATAAGGGGAGGAAAATTTTTATTTATGTTTAATATTGTTGTTTTAAATCATGTACCAAAATTATCAAAAATCTTACCTTCACTTAAAAAGGAAAATTATATTTAATATTATTTATCACCCAATTTAATGTTAATGTTATATTATTATACATTCAATATCTTATGATAAAAAAATATGAAGGTATCTTTCTAGTGTCACCCATGGCCCACCAATGTAATATAAGAGTGAAAGATGCTTTAATTTCAAAATCTGAACAACATATTAACAGAATTCTCAACAACCTTCTTTCAGCTCCAGAGGGCTTGTTCATCTTCAAAGGTTGGCTCTCTCTTTTTGTATTTTCATCCCAATATCACATGCATGCTCATTTTCACGAATAACTTTTTTTATGTTACTTGCATTTGCGTTCATGTTATTGTATCAAGATCTTGAAGTTTGATTATTGAATGAGAGTTGGTGATGTTTATTTGTTTGTTTTTTGTACGTAGAGTGAATTTGAAGAGGATGGTTAATTTGGGTTGAGAAAAGAGATCACTCTTAGGTTACATTTGATTCTTGTTATTGTGTCAAGATCAAAGGGTTCAAATTTCTTGGAAGTTTTTTATAATTGAAGGGTTGTCATGTTAGTTTATTTTTATGTAGAGTACTATGAGGAAGAGGGTTTCAATTGAACATTGGAAAAAGATCATTTGTTTTTTGCAATTAAGGGAGGCTGTGTTTGTTTGGAAGCAAATCAGTTCCTACAAAGAATCTGTTTTGTTTGGATAATTCGATCAATCGGATCATAAATCCTCATGAAAGTTTGGTAAGTCCAAGTTGTTTAGTGGTTGTTTTAGTTAAATTCATGGAAAAGTTTCTTTTTTTGGGAAGAAATTGAATTGTACTTTTTTTCTGGGGAAAGTTTGAATTGGAAAGATTTCCAGAAAACAATGGAGGGGTCCACGGATCCTTTGTGCATCTGTATCAACTCCACATGTGCTTATTATCTCTTAGCAGTGTCATATTTAACTTTATCCTAATAATGAAACTGGTGGACCTTCTACAAACACATCTTTAAAGGAACTGGCGAATTTTAATTTTTTTTATTGGCTCCATTATTGATCGAGGGATTTACTTTATACAATGTTGTCCCAGAAAAAATCATTGTGCGACGACTTTTTCAGCATCGAAATTGTATATAAAAATTATCTAGAAAGTCCCTTGTTTTGGGATTGCGTTTGACTCTTGACTCCTTTAATAATAATAGTAAAGCGTCTGAAATCATGATTGAATTTTTCATATTTTGTTTCAAGGAAAATGGAGAATGGTATCAAAGAAGAAGGTGAACCGGGCATTTCTTCAATCAACAAGGTATGCTGTTCACTTCATTATTCAGAGAGCAGAGTCGACACTTCTCTTATATATTTCGGGGCATCTGTAGTGTTTCATGATCAATCTGTCTCTACATTGACTGGTTTAGTATATTTTTCTCCAACATAGAGCAATATCCATGATTCATACATTTCTACTTGTAGAATGCCGTGGCTTCTGTTCATGTACTGGAGCCTAAGAAATAATATCAGTGTAACTCATCATTGCAGTATACTAACATAGTGTCTGTTTTCCTGCTGAAGATGGAAATGAAGAATTTAGATCGATCAATTTTCATTTCATCTCTTCAGATTATTGTTTGCTTAATCAACTTATGCCGAATTTCCTACGTAAAAGATGATATAAAGATGGGTATAATTTGAAGTTACCCCAAAACTCATTTGTATATATTAAAGTTATTTTATGTTAAAGTCTTGCAAGAGGATGCTGTGTTGAAAGTTTGGGATTGAAGTAATGAATGTAAATCTCTTAGACTAGTCTGAACTTTGAATAGAATTAAGTCTAAAGAATGTCAAATATCTGGTCTTATCCGACTGAATTTAGCCTTCATTAAAACCATTCTGAGGACAGAATGTGTCACCTTTCAGAGAGTTTATAGTCTCACAGCTAATGTTAGTGACATTATTCAGTTTGAAGACTGACATACTCTTTTTTGCATCTTGAAATTCTTGTTTCATTTTTATTTCTTTTTGTTCTTTCATCAGGTTGACCCAGGGAAACCTGCCCCACTAACATGGCAACGACAACTGGATAGTAAAGTAAATCTCCCTATAGGGTTCACTCTGAAGTTTCAAGAGATAAGGCATATGGTATGTTTGCGACTATTTGTGATTCGATTAATGTTTGACATGTTTCTTTCCCACCAAGTGTAGAGTGAAAATCAATTTCAGTCATTAAATTGTAACCTGCGAACAGTTTTGTTTTTCTGCAGTCAATATAGTAAGTTTTGGTCGTTCCAAATCTGTGGTGATCTTATTGCTGTGTGTTCTGAGAATGAAAACACTTGACTCTTAAGTGGGAATAATCTGAAAGCTTCAGCCTAAGATAGCCCAACTCATGTTGCTTTGAGCTCAATGAAGAATGTATAAACGTGAAGTTTTTATATAATATAGAATATCTATATTTCTACTATACTTAATTTAAATGATAAGAGGGGTTTACCCTGGCTGAATGCCATTTTTATCACTTCATCATTGTCCAGGTTGGGTCATTTCATTGTCATTCTGGTGGTGAACATAAAGTTGGTTTAGCAACCTGTTTTGTTTGTAACAATTTTGTGTTTAGAGTTTGTAGTCAATGGGGAAGAGCATGGATGTCATAAGTAATGTATCCTTTACTCTTCGTTCATATGAGCATCACTACGAAGGAGCTCTTCATGCTTCACAATGGACTCTTAACTAATGTTAATGTGCCCAATCTAGTGTTCTGACACATTCAGTTTATATTTGAGTAATGAACACAACTCTTTGCAATCCTCTCTTAGTTTGTACAAGATATCAGAAGGTTTGTCATCAAACTGACTGACAAAGAAATTCTGTACTGATTTTTTAGTATCGGTAGGAATACCAAAATGGATGACTATACATTCTTCTATGTTGTGCGTTTTCTTTCTTCACTGGAATTGATGCAGCTTTAAGGGCAAGAGTCATCTCAGAAGAGAGGAATATAGTAGTTTGAAGATCAGGACAAATGTTTTGATTCAGTAGTTTATTTGATCTGCACTTGCTTGCTCTTTAGTTAACAAGTCAAAGGGCCTATCTTGGCATCTAAGACTTGCCAATGGCTTACATCCTTCTGTTTTTGTATTTTGATAAATATTATCAAGTCTCATTCCATTTTTCTTATTTTTGACTGTTGGAAGGCCCTAATGGGTTTGCGACTGTATCGTCATGCCAGAAGAGAAGCAGCAGAAGGACGGGTAAAGATTACATCTGATTTTGTTTTAACAGATGCTTTATGATTAGAACATTACATTTGGATTATAATCCTTTATTTCAAATATAACCAAACATTCTTCATGTTTGTAGGCATCAATATTTGACATTTTCAGAAAACATATAATTACAAGTGATCATGGCATTCCTTTAGGTGGTATTGGGTATGTATACATCATTGCTGACAATTGTGACAATGCACATTTTTAATTTTCTTGTTAGTTTATGAAAAAACACACCGGCCACAGTTGTTTTGATTCGAAGTTATGTTTGAAATCACGAATTTAGTGCTGGAAGCATCGGAAGAAGTTACAGAGGCGAATTTCAGCAATTTAAATTATTTGCGAGAACATGTGAAGAAGGCCCAGTTCTGGCAAATCAGTTTTCTGTAAGTTTACTTCTTTTATTTTGAAGGCATATGTATACATCCAATAGCCAACCATGAATTGGTTCCTTTTATTTGTGAAAAAGTTTACCTGATGATCAATAGCAGTAAAAAATGAAATTTAACAATGTCTCGCTGTTTCCGTTTAACTTTTCACCATGCAGAATTTCTAATATATTTAATTGATCAGGTTTTTGTTTCACGGCCGGATGGAAAAAAAATTTCCACTGTATTATGTCCAAAGAGTCCAGAGGTTTCCGAGTAAGATTTAAAGATCATCCAGGAATTCAACTTCTTTAATTTTTGAAATTAATGTATCATTTGATAGTCCTTTATAAACACATTATTTGTACTTGTCTGAGTTACTCAGAAGACAAAGTTCAGCTTCAGGCATTGAATCTTGGGATTGGAATCTGAAGGGCGAGAAATGTGCATATCATGCTTTGTATCCGAGGGCCTGGACAGTCTATGAAGGTATTAGTTTTTTTAACTTGAAAACAGTAAATTTCTGTTCTATCATCGGCAGTTTCCTACATTTGTTATCAATATTTGCAAAAACAGGTGAACCTGATCCAGAGCTGAGAATTGTTTGTCGTCAACTTTCGCCTATTATTCCCCACAATTACAAAGAGAGCAGTTTGCCTGTATCAGTATTTACATTCACGGTATGAAAAGGCATGCAAGCAACTTCATTTGTATTTAAATACTTATTTGTAACTCTAGATTGTGTGCCTTAGTAGATGCTTTTTGCCTCTTTCAGCTATCTAATTCTGGACAGACACCTGCTGATGTCACCTTGCTTTTTACATGGGCTGTAAGTTCAGCATTTTATACAGCACATCACATCACATTTCAATTTATTATATTGAGTCCTTCTTGATAACCATGATCATTCTCGATGAATCTCCAATGACATGAAATATTTGGATTTAGTCAAACGATTCAAACTACATTTGCTTTCTGTTCCCTCACATGCTGAGTTTTCCGTTTCCCCATTTTGATAATGATTTTGTATCAAGTAGAAGGTCGTGGGATATTTTCAGTCTAAAATCTCACCCCTGGATAACTTGGTGTCATAAACCAGTTTATGCTATTTGTATTACTCTTAACTTATAAATTTATGATTTTTCAGAACTCTGTGGGTGGAGTCTCTGCATTATCTGGTGATCATTTCAACTCAAAGATGATGTGAGGATATCATTTTACTTACTTCAATCAGTGAATTCTTTAATGATGCTGCTTACTAATTATGCTGCTTGTATTCCAAGTTGTTGTAGCAGTTTAATCATTAAATAATTCTTGATTCCTTCCAGGACAAAAGACGGAGTGCATGGAGTAACTTTACACCACAAGTAATTTATTAATCAGATATACAATTGTACATATTTCAAATTCTAAGCAGCATCTTATATCTCTGATGTTAACTACAAACATTTCAGAACAGCAAATGGATGTCCTCCGGTAAGTTTTGCCATTGCAGCAAAGGAAACAGCTGATGTATTTGTCACCGAGTGTCCTTGCTTCGTGATATCCGGTGACTCTCGGGGAATCACGGCTAAAGATATGTGGAATGAGATAAAAAAGGTAGTTGGTCTTCTTTTACATTCTCGCATGTCTGCAAAATATAAAGCAATTTAAGCCTTAAAAATAAAAGGAGTCTTAATTTAGTCATAACTATCATGTTCTAGTATGTATATGAATACAAGTGTAATGAAATCCATCAATGAAGTCGAGGACTCAGTTTGGGTCACCAAAATCTGCATACATGATAGTTTTGACAGCATAATCTGCTACGGACTCACAAAAAATTATGACTGTTTTATTTGTAATTACAGAATGGATCATTTGAGCACCTTGACTGCAAAAGAACTTCACCATCAGAACCAGGATCATCCATTGGAGCAGCCATAGCAGCCTCTGTGATTGTTCCTTCTGGTGCTGTCCGCACCGTCACATTTTCATTGGCATGGGACAGTCCAGAAGTCAGATTTTGTGAGAAGACATACCACAGGTGGGCTTCCCGGATCTCCCAATACTTGTTTATAGTAAAGCCTAATGTCCCTAAAAGTTTTTTGTGGGTTTATTCTAAAAGCATACTTTCATTACAGGCGCTATACAAAATTTTATGGCACTCTAGGGGATGCAGCCCCAAATATGGCACATGACGCTATCCTAGGTAATGTCAACATGATTGTATCAACTGTTAGAATGAGCATTTATTTTCAGTTTCTACCAATACAACTAACTGAATGTTTTTCTAATATTTTGAAACTAGAACATGCTCAATGGGAATCCGAGATTGAAGCGTGGCAAAGACCAATTATTGCAGACAAAAGATTTCCTGAATGGTGAGATTAATGGAACCTGTTGGTATACAAAATCTTCTAAATTGCTTTAGAGATATCAAAATTGCGAATTTCTTATGCAGGTACCCCATCACTCTCTTTAATGAGCTGTATTATCTTAATGCTGGAGGAACAATTTGGACAGGTATTCATGGAGCTGAAAGTTTATTTTCTGGAAGCTGATTCTAATCTAATACTATAATGACACTTTTTTTTTTAATTTTGGATAGATGGATTACCCCCGCTTCAAAATTTGGTGGCATTTAGAGAGAGAAAATTTGCTCTTGATAAAACCAGGTCAGATTTGAATACTCCAATTGATGATGCCAACGCAAATGACACTGCTGTTGAAGTCCTTAAACGGATGACATCGACACTAGATAACATACATACTCCTGCAGTGTCAAATGCTGCCTTAGGAACACGATTACTCCAGAATGAAGAAGAAAGCATTGGTCAATTCCTCTATCTTGAAGGAAGTGAATACCTCATGTGGAATACCTATGATGTTCATTTCTATTCATCTTTTGCAATACTCATGCTATTCCCTAAACTTGAACTCAGCATCCAAAGAGATTTTGCAGCCGCGGTAATGTTACATGATCCTGATAGGATGCAAATTATGAGTGATGGAAAATGGGTTCCAAGAAAAGTTCTTGGCTCTGTGCCCCATGATATTGGGCTCAATGACCCCTGGTTTGAAGTAAATGCTTATAATCTCTTCAATACTGATCGTTGGAAAGACTTGAATACGAAATTTGTTCTCCAGATATATCGCGATGTAGTTGCCACTGGTGATAAAAATTTTGCGCGAGCTGTTTGGCCCTCCGTTTATGTTGCAATGGCTTTTATGGATCAGTTTGATAAGGATGGAGATGGAATGATTGAGAATGAGGGATTCCCTGATCAGACTTATGACGCATGGTCTGTTAGGGGCATTAGCGCATATTGTGGTGGCCTGTGGGTGGCTGCTCTCCAGGCTGCTTCAGCCTTGGCACATGTAGTTGATGACCATGAATGTGCTAACTACTTCTGGGTGAAATATCAGAAGGCTAAAGCTGTATATGGCACTTTATGGAATGGTTCCTACTTCAATTACGACAACAGTAATGGTAGTTCAAGTGCAGCTATTCATGCTGATCAATTGGCTGGACAATGGTAAGTGAGAAGTACTTTCAGTTTTTTCTTTTTCTTTATTTTTCTTTTTAACATCAAGAATTAAAATATGACGAATATTAGGATAACAAATTCAACATGCTGACTTTTTTGTGGCTTGTGACATTTTTAGGTATGCTAGAGCATGTGGTCTTGCTCCAATAGCTGATGAAGATAAAGTGAAGAATGCACTCGAGAAAATTCACAAATTTAATGTCTTAAAGGTGAAAGACGGAAAGCGTGGGGCAGTGAACGGTATGTTTGCAGATGGAAGAGTCGATATGTCAGCTATGCAATCAAGGGAAATATGGAGTGGAGTTACATATGCGCTTGCTGCTACTATGATTCAAGAGAGCATGCCGGATAAGGCGTTTGAGACAGCCGCTGGCATCTATGAAGCTGCCTGGTCCCAACAAGGCTTAGGGTAAGTTTGCTTTTTGATGGTTTTGTTTTGGCTTCAGCTTCAGGCTTGTGTATGTCATATAGAGGTTTCATTCCTCTTCACTTGTCAAAACTCTTTCTGTTTACAGTTATGGTTTTCAGACTCCAGAAGCCTGGAACACTGATGACGAGTTTCGATCTCTTTGTTACATGAGACCATTGGCCATCTGGGCAATGCAATGGGCATTGACAAAGCCAAAGCTCTTTATGGATGAGATAAACATTGAAAGCAGTGATGAAGAGTCTTCATATATCAAGCAACATGCAGCATTTTCAAAAGTTGCTAACCTGCTAAAGTTGCCAAAGGAAGAACCTCCTAAAAGCTTGCTACAACTTCTTTATGATTTCACGTGCAAGAGAGTTCTGTGGTAACTAATTCTTACATCCTGCAGATAAATTTTGGCGATTTTTCTCGTTAACGAAAGGATTAATGTTTGATGAGCATTATTGGAACTTACATGCTATTGCTACTTCAATTGTATGTAAAAACAATTCCATTCAAAATACATTGATCAAATGGAAAGAAGCTTCCAAATGGATACTGTCATTGAAATAACAGTTGCTTCAGAATCCAAATAACTGCTTGTACAAGAGTTTTTGAGTATAATTAATATCTTCAATTCTTCATGCTTGTTTATTTTTTATTTTATTTTTTTTTTCATTGCAAGTTAAGCCTTTTATCTTACAGAATGGTATGACCTAGAGGCTTTCGTAGTTCATGGCCGGTAAAAATAGGTTTTAGACTTTCGAGTACATAGATAATATGACTTGACAAGTGATGCATTGACAAATCCAGGAGATTTATAATTAAATTTCAAATCAGAGGCACAATTGCCTTATTATCTTTCTTTCTTCCAGAACCCAAAAAAAAAGGGCTGGAGTTGGCTCACATTAAATGCAATATTGATCCTGATCTCAGTGGGTATTTCAAGAGACCCTATTTTACTTTTAAACTCGTAATTGAATTCATCCATTAAGAGGGAAAAAAAAATACGGGAGTCATTGAGATCATATCATCCAAAGCATACATCAAAATAGTAGAGCAACAACATTCTCAACAAGTATTAGCTGCATGTAAGAAATATAAGCATTTTCCAGACACCACCCGAAAATGACAATCTAAAAACTGAAACTCATATCAGCAGTCAGAGAAATAGACCTAACTGAAGCTACAGCTAACTAATCAATATCCGGTACACCTACACGCTACAAGAAAAGTTTTCAACGAGGTGCAGCATACATCTGGGTAGCATCGTATTGAGGATAACCAGGCTGCGGCGACACAGTTTTTCCGTAACCAACTGGAGCACTCCCTTGAGCAACCCCATATGCAGCTGGTTGTGCAGCAGCCTGTTCGTAGCTTGGTTGAGCCACTGTTGGTTGAGCATAAGCTTGCTGGCCACTCGCTGGTGCAGTATAAGCTGAAGCAGGGCCACTACCTCCATAATTAGGATCTTGAGTCCCTTGGTAACCATAACTTGCATTGGTGGTGCCTGGCTGCTCGGGGTAACCTTGTTGTGAATTGGTATACGCGTATCCACCAGTAGCAGCCACTTGCCCGTAGCCAGCAGCTTGTTGCCCACTAGGCAGCTGAGTATAACTGGGAACAGACTGGCCAACTTGTTGAGGATAGCCTGGACCAGATGCAGCCGCTTGTTGATTATAACCCTCAGTAGCTGGTGCAGAACCATATGCAGGATAGGTTTGTTGCATAGCTCCACTTGTTGCGTATGGATATTGCTGTTGATGTGGCACATTAGCACCATATGATTGGGCTGATGGAACAGAACCTTGGTAAGGCATATCTCCTGGTTGACCCGGCCGGGGAGGGCCATAAGATTGTGGTTGTCCCTGTGGTGGCATGTTGTATGATGGGGGCTTACCATATTGCTGCTGTTGAGGAAAACCTGGTTGCATGCTACCCTGCGAGTATACTGCCTGAGAGTTTCCATGTCCTCCATAGGGATGCTGCATTTGAGCATGATTGTCATACTTTGGTTCATCATATCCATGCCCATAACCCTGCTGAGGAGTTGTCTGGGCATAGGGAGGTTGATGCCCGTAATCATGACCATGTGGCTGCCCATAGTTGTAATTGGCCTGGGACGGAGGTGGGCCTCCTGCTGAGGCCAGCGTAGGGCCAGGACCATGCCCATGATTGGGAGTTGAATGTGCAACAGAGCCTGGGTGATCATGACCTCCTTGCCCACCATAGTAATCGTAACAACCGGCACCTCCATGAGGAGGGCCATGCATACTTGGAGGACCACCAAAATTACTTCTTGGACCCATTTGCTGTGAAGGATAACCACCATATGTTGCAGGTGGATACTGGGAATTCTGAGACGGATAAGGTCCTCGTTGCTGATAGTCATATCCCATTGGCTGCGATGGGGGAGGACCCCGTGGACCCCACTGAGGTGGACCAGAGGGTCCACGAGGTCGATAGGATTGCTGATTAAAACCACCAGAAAGAGGTGATGGCCTCACAGTCTAGTAAACACAAATTGCATTAATCAGATGAGTAACAAGAAGCACCATCATTAAAAATGTATATAAATCAAAGAACGTGATCTTGATGGAAAAATTAAAAAAATAGATTATTCATCAAAAAGGCATGTTCATCACAAACCAAAGATAGAAAAGATCAACATGTAAATAAACCATTAGAAGATGAAGTTGAGACCATAACACAACAAAGAAAATCAAAATACAAGAATAACATCATTAAGATTATGCTCCTTACAGAAGCCTCATAAAAGCTAGCACCATGAAATGCAAGACATTATCATCAACAACTTAACTTAGAATAAGACAAGATTATAAGTAAAATTTGTCCTAAAAAAAGTTAACTTTGTGTACAATAGCATGTATTCAATAAACTTCAGACGTCTACAAAACAAAAATTCTAAGCAAACTCATACCACCATCACAATCTTTCCCTCCTCAACAAAGAAGATCAAAGAAGAAAGGTTAAGCTCTACATGTAAGATTATTCTCAAAACGCCTTGGTTTAGAATCTCTACAATTAAATGATCTGTATCAGGTGAGATGATCTAATATTAACACCGAAACGTACAACAATCTAAACATGCTTAAAAAGACACCAACCAAGATTAAGTAATTGAACATTCATGAGACTTTCAGGAAATTTAAATTCAGAGCTTATCCCATTTAGAGGTCAGCACTATTAAAAAAACTAAATAAAGATGACACGTACATACTCTCCTAAATTTTCAACAAGCATCATATACAAGTTTGAGAATTGGTCCCATGCAAATTCAAAACAGAATCTTCACGAGGTAAAACACTATCTTCAAATACATGTCTGACGATAGAACATCGGGATACGGAAGACCACTAAGGTTAATACAATATGTCTTTACTACATCATGATTTTTTAACTTTCAAGTCTTGAAGTAATCTTACCAACTATTAACACCTGCAATTGCGAGAATACCTCTCTTCGGGGGAGTGATAAGTGGTTGTCTATTGCTACACCAAGAAAGCAATGCTGACCCATGGAAAAGGCATAGCCAAATCTGCATTTTTAAAGCCAACCAATACGAATTGGCACCTTCAACATAAATAAATCATGGCAACCGACATCTTGGATTGAATATATGACTATCTTCCTAATTGCATTCAAGTGACCTCGGCATAGATCATTCATCAATACCGTAAACTCTTATGAGTGTAATGTAATTAAGCTCTCACTTCCATGGCACAATATCACATCATGACTATCTACCATTAACTTTATTATACTGACAAATGTAAAAGATTCAGAAATTTCGCTCAACCAATCCAAGGACGGACATTTTTGCACCAACTCATAGAAAGAAGATTTATCAGCACCTCAAAAGGATAAATAATTGCTAAAACCCTAGTATACATATATTTGTAATGGAAGTAATGCTACATAAGCTGAGCAACTATGGCTGACATAATAAATATTTCACATGATATATGTGGCATGACAGAAATCCATGTGAGACATTCAAGAAATCACCCTAGCTAACTTCACTACCAGAGGGCAACATGATGTAGAAGAGCATTGCATAACGTAAGTTAAATCCACTTGTCATTTCATTATAAATAAGATTAGCCACTACCACAACCTGATTGAAGAAGTAATATACGCAACAATTTACCCAACAAGGTACTGTCATATAGAAGCTAAAATAATCTTAAAGTCCTACATGCACAAAGGAAGGGCATGGTAAAACAATTATTGATCCAAGCATTATTGAAAAGTGTGGTCCCTGAAATCCTAGACACACATTAATAGCTCAAGTGACCAAGGTAAAAGAAAATTTAATACATAAAGATAAAGAACCAAAGGACAGAAGTAAGTTTTAAAAACTGAATAACTTAGTAGCACTATTTTAGAAATCCTAGTAATTCATTCGAAATTTACAATTTGATATCTTGCATGACAATGAACCATATTCCTAACCTGGATAACAGCCACAACAGAAATGGCATTGCAAGTAATAAAATAATTTAAGAGTGCAATGGATGTTTACAATTACAAATTTATAAATGTAATAAAAAAATCTTACAGACACAAATCACATATAGACAGGCCAAGAGCACTTAATCCATCAGAACTGTTTTACAACTTGTCGTCTTACTATGACTGAAGAAAAGAAAATTAAAAGAGAATCTACACAGACCACATTGATAATTGTTTAACAAAAGATACCAGCATAGCAGTTATAATTAATGCATAACAATACAAAGAGAGAAAAAGCAAGCACACCAGGAGAAAAACAAACCTGATTCAAAACATCCTTTATCATTTCTTGAGCTATCTCAATCTGTCTCATATCACCAGTAACTCGCACTGTCCTCTCTTTGGAACCGTCTCCTTCAGGAAGATGTTGAGGTATCAGCTATACAAAGAACATAATCAAGTCAATATCACAAGAGTATACTCTTAAGCAATATAAGAAGAAAAAACACTGTAATCCATCAAATAAGTTAAGGCACAGGATAACGGTATCAACTACCTGGATTCGTGCCCCAGACCTGGTCTGCAGACCTTTGATAGTCTCTCCACCTCTACCAATGATTAAACCAACCTGGCAAAGAACACATGTAAGGCATAAAAAATAAAAAAATAAAAAAATTTAAAACACATTTAAGCCAAAAAAGTGGTTAAAACAATAACCTTCTCGTTTGGAACTTTTATCTCAACTTGTTCTCCAATCCCAGCAGCCTGTGCAGTAGCAAGACCCCTAGCTACTAGGGAAGGTGAGCCCCCTGCATCTGCCTGCAATAGAGGACAAATAACATACTGAATAGATGAGGGCAAGAAAGAAAGTGAACTGCTAAAAGGAGAGGGAGTGGACAAAGTAAAAAAATATATATTAAAATGGGCATTGGAACACGTACTGATGTACCACATCAGCTAAAGCTCCCAGGTTGTGGAAAATGAATACAATTACAAAGAGAACTAATTACCTCTGCTATGACAGCACTTATAAGCTTCTCAGCCTTGTTTATATTACTTAAAGTCCCAACTATTTCCACAGGTCTTGTAGTCGAATAGGGGTCAGCTTCAGCATCCCTTGTTATTTGAATTTTTGCCCCCGAATTGTACTGCAGGTACCTTATGGTATCCCCAGCCTTGCCAATAAGAACTCCAACCTGCACCATAAATTACCCAAAATAAATCTGTCAAAACCTTGCTCTTTCATACTAATCCTTCATAACCATTTCCCTAGTTGTAAAGACAGTTAATTGCAATGACCCATCTTGAAAAAAATATATATATAAATTTGGTTTTAGTTAGTACACAAAATTAATACATGTATTGTGTATATATTGTCAACACAAGCATTGAGCTCCACAATTACAAGCTCGTCCAGAAATAAATTTCAACAAATTAGCTATCTAATGACATACCTTGTTATTAGGGACCTCTATTCTGCGGGTCACAGTCGAAGCATCATTTGAAGCTGGCTCATCAAGCTTAGAATCATCACTCTCTTGCCGAGGTTCCTCATTAGAGGGTTCTAGACTTTCTTCCCCTTCAACAGTGACTTCTTTTGTTTCCTCTTTGACAGTAACAGAGGCTTCTTCTGTTTCCCCTTTAACACTAACCAATACTTCTTTAGTTTCCTCTTTCACAGAGATATGCTCTTTGTCACCTGATATCCGGTCTTCCACAGATGAAACCTGCTCGGTCTTAACCTCCACAGTCTCCTGCACCTCTTCTTTAGCTGCATCCTTACTTAAGTTTTCAGCATCCCCAGCTTCATCCAATATTCCTTCTTTTAATCCATTAATACTAGCTGCCACAACCACACATATAGGTTACAATGTACCTAAACTGATTACAAATGAAACATGAAAAAAAAAATCTATTTAACAATAAACATCATAAGTTTCAAAATCGCAACACAAATTCTAAAGCAAACACGACTCATTCGATTTGCAATTGAAATTCTATCCAATTTATGACATCTTCAATACTCTCACAGCCTCTAAAATGAGGAACCAATCAAAACGCAACACAAGTTAGCTCCAAATTACTCAAACCCTAACCTAAACAATGAAGGTTCAATATTTCCAATCATAAAGACTCGTCTTCCAGAGTCAAACAAACCAATCAACATGCTACAAGTGTCAACTCCAACTCACCGAAACCCTAAACAGAGAAAAAACAAATTACCTATCCCATCAGCTTTTTCATTATCCTCGTCGTGTCTCGGCCGCTTGGCCTCTGCTTCATCAGCTTCCGCCACGTCACCATCGGCATTAGCCTCGACAGCAGCGGAGTTGGGGCTGGGTTGAGCGGGGTCCTGAGCTTCCGGGTCTAAATCATCGAGCTTTCTTTTGAGATCCGACACCGCCGGAGCCACAACGACCTCTTCCTCCGCCATTCGGCTTTAACAAAACCCTAATCTTATTTTTCTTCAAAAACCAAACAAAACAAAACAAAACCAAAAGATTTCGTTTTTTAAGAGAAAAAATTAAAATATAGTTGGCTGATTTAGGGTTTTTTTATTGGGATTTTTTTCTTAATAATTTTGGGAGAGAAAGAGAGTCAGTGAGAGTCAGACAGAAATGTGGAGAAGAAGGGTTTTGAGGCTTTTATATAGTGCAATAAGGATAGCTGAGATATTTTTGGGCGTGACACTGTGAGAGTGAGTGACCTCAACTTTCTCTAATGTAGGGTTTCTCAGTCTAATTTCCGTTTGATCTGTAATTCGAAAATAATTTTTATAAATTTAAATATTTTAAGTTATAATTTTAGGTTAACATATAATTATAAATAAAAAGAATCATAAAAAATTCTATTAAAAATTGAATAAGATTCTTATCATAAATAAAACATTTCGTCTTTCACCTATAAAATATAATAGTGAGTAATTTAAGAATATGAAAAAAGAATCTGTTATAAGGAGTATGTAATGTAAAAGGTTGTTTAGAAAGATAGTATTTGTATTACGTATTAATCTTATAGATGTTTTATGTTGTATCATCTCCTACCGATATTTTAATATTTTTAATATTGAAATTTGTTTTTATATTAATTTAATTTATTTTCATATTAAAAGTCTATAAAAAACTAAGAAAAGAAGTTTTTTTTTTTAAAAAAAAAAAATTTACACCAGTCTTTAAGATTGTAATAAAAATTTGTTTTCAACCAAACTACTATTGACTAAAATGCGTTTTTATAAGATTATTTGTTTCCTAAAAAGTAAACCCATATTTAAATTGTATAAGAGATTTTATTGCCAAAATATGATGAAAATACTTGTTAATGAATATGAAAGTCTCGATTTTGGGGAAAATTTTCTGGTAACTAGTATTTTACTTTTACGAGTAAAATGAAAATTATGAGTATATACAAAAAGAAATTACAAGTGAAAAGAAATTATGGAAATAAATCTTAATATTTTGACTCTATCTTGAAATAAGATGGAAATAAAATACCTGAGTCAAACCAACATATAAGCTCTAAGATCAAGATGATCTATTTGTTTATAATTTTTTTAGTCTTATAAGAAAAAAAATGGATTAATATGATTCAACTGAGACATGAATTGAATATTTTGATTGAAATTTTTTTTTTAATATAATTATAATTAATTATATTTGTTCATTAGTTTATTTTGTATAACAAATCTAAAAATTATTTATATAATTTTTTAATAAAATATTTGTCTATAAAGTATTTGTTTATGTACTTCTAAAATTAAATTAAATTATAATATGATCAAAATATATTTTGATAATAAAAAATTGAGTTAATATAATTTATTATTTGATAAAATAATGTAGTACCATTTTTAATCATTTTAATGATAAATATACTTATAAGCTATATTTTATCAAACACGTTAATTACTTATCAATCACTTATAAGTATTTTAACCGAACACATAACTACTTAAATTTTAAATACTTACAAACTCAAATTACTTTATACGCACTAGCTGCTTACAAAGCTAATTTTCATAAGCCTACCCAATAGGCCCTAAGACATAAAGAACATAACATAGAAATGAATAGAAAAAATGACTTCAGTATGTAAGGATGGGAACAGGGTGGGGTTGGGTCGGGTTTTCCATTCACCGTCCTCATCCTTACCCCTTTAACCCATTCCCTGTCCCCATCTCGCCCCACCTCGAACTATGGGAAAAAATTTCCGTTGAGATGTTTTCGCACCTCATTCCCCGTACCATAAGAAGAAAATCCCCTCACTAAGTGGAAAAATCCCCGCGAGGATTTTTGCCAACCTCATTCCCCATCCCTTTATACTCACACATTGTAAGAAAAGATCCTGCTTGCAATTTAATCAATTTGAAAAGTAACGAAAACACTTAACGATGAGCCTGAATGAGGCAGCAAAAATTGGAATTGACGGATGACTTCTGAGTTCTGAGATTGGCTAGAGGAAGATTCAAGCCGCAAGCAACCTCCTCCCCATTTTTCTTTTCTTTTCTTTTCTTTTTTTAAAAAAAAAATATAATTGATGGTGTGGATTTGGGTTTATTTGTTTGTGTTATGTCGGGTTGATTTACTTCATGGTGGATATTATTTTAGAGAGGTGGATGGGGGCTTGTGGATGCTGCTTTGTTGGGGGGACGACTATGGTGGTGGTTCAGTTGTGTGGTGAGCACTGTTAGTTGCTTGATGGATAGTTTTAGAAACATTTTTGAAGAAGGGTGAGGCGGTTATGGTGGTGGTTTGGAATGGGGTGGGTTCAAATTTTGGTGCGATATGGGACTGCTGTGGTTGGTTCAGCACAACAGGTGTAGTTTGATGGCTTGGAGAAAGAATGAAAAGAGAAGAGAGATATTTAGAGTAAACGACATGTTCCCACCCAAAGATTAGTGAAATGACAAGTTTCCACCCCTGGTTTCATTTATTCCAGATTCTCTCCCTTAAATTAATAGACAATTATTTAATATGACAATAAAATGGTAAAATGGTCATTGAACCCAAAAGACATCTCACCCCATTCTTCTTGTTCCCTCTTCCTTCTACCACTGTCGCCTCTTCTTTTTCTTCTACCCATTCTTCTTCTTCTTCTCCTCTTTTCCTCCTTTATTTCTTCTTCTCTTCCTCCTACTTTCTTTCTTCTTCTCTCTTCTCCCTTCTCGGAATAGACTCCAATGCGACTTGATTTGGCCACTGTAAACCATCATGTTGAGGCCACCACCCATCTACCCCAAATCACTACCGTACCTCACCCCCTAGACCATTGTCGCTCCCTAGAAACCCACCACCAGTCGCAGTCGCCATCCCCTAGGAACCCATCGCAGACCACAATCGTTGTTACTCCCAGTCTATGGTTGCAATTTCATGTCACTTAGCTTTTTCATTTTTCTTTGTTTAATAAATTAGGTTGTGTAATTAATAATTTGGGTTGTATGAAATGAAACGAAAGTGCTGTTTTGACGATCAAGTGCAAGCAAATTAAAAAGCAGGAGGAATGTTCCAATGGGTTTGTGGTTGTTTTTGGATGAGTTTGTAGCTGAGTTTGTGGCAGTTTTTGGGTGGGTTTGTGGCTGAATTTGAGTGATTTGGTGGTGGTTGTTTGGTGGCGGCGGGTGACTTTGGGGTTTAAAGGGATAGCAATAGTGGTGGTGGTGGTGACTTTGGGGTTTCGGTGGTGGTGACTTTGGGATTTCGGTCGTGGTGTTGAAAAGTGGTGGTGGTGGTGAAATCAAAAGTGAAGGGTAGTATAGTAATAACATCCTCTATAGCTGTGTCAAAGTTAAAATTTATTAACAAAGTTAATTTAAGGGTGGGAATTTGGAATAAACGAAACCAAGGGTGGAAACTTGCCATTTCGCTAACCTTTGGGTGGGAACATGTTGTTTACTTGAGACAATTATTAGTTGGATTAGGGTCAACTCGTTTTTATCTATTCTAATTCAGTTTTAAGTGGGGAGAGGCAGGGCAGCTATGGTGGTGGTTTGAAATGGAATGGGTTTAGATTTTGATTCAACATGGGGCTGCTATTGTTGATTCAGTGCAACATGTGCAATTTGATGGCTGGAGAAAGCATTAGAAGAGAAGAGAGATATTTATTAGTTGGATTTGGGTCAATTTGTTTTTATCTATTCGGATTTAAGTTCAAGCTGGGTGAGGTGGTGGTTTATGTTGAGATATGAAATATATGTGAATTAATGTGTATTTGATTATTTCCCTTCATTATTGATTTTCTCATTCATTGTACATTTAATGACCGGATTTCATGTGATTGGGAAATCTTGGCATTATTGTTATTGCCTTATTTTGTCATACTGTTTTTGTATAAATAGGGCTGTACATGTTGATACAAAAATATACAGAAAATTCTTCTTCTCTCTTGCTCTTGGCATTCTTTGGCCTTTTTGCCTCTCTTGCCTTCTCTTTATTTTCATTCTCTGACATGGTATCAGAGTGGGTAAATTGATCTAGCTTCCGCATTCCTTTTATTCTGTCCCTGAAATCAAACAGAAAATCTTGGTTAGCTTTCCCCTCATTTTCTCCTCATCAAACCAAATCGCAAACACCCAAGACCTAAACACATTATGCCCAAACCAAACAACACAAACTGGCCCAAATCCAACTGCCACATAAATAGGCCAAACTCCTTAAACAGGCCTAACCACACAACCTCAAACCAGCCCAGTTTCCACCACCACCCAACTAGGCCCAACCACTTTCCCTTACCCGTTTACCTTTTCAGGTCAACCAACGAGTCATGAACCCAACCCGACCCAACCACCATTCATCTTCCAAATAGTGCACACCACCAGCTGTCGCCTTGAACCAGGCGACGTCCTTTACACACCAACCTCTGACGGACCTGAATTCATCCTGGTCAAGGTTGTTTTGACCGGATCTGACAACTACACTAGATGGGCCATTGATTTACAGCGAGCCCTCATCGCCAAAGACAAAGAGGGCTTCGTCGACGGGACTATTCCACCAGTCTCAGATCCACATCTTCTTTAATAGTGGAATCGATGCAACATGCTTGTCAGGCCCTAGATTAGGAACTGCTTGTCTCTGAAGGTTGCCATCGGCTTACCACCAACTCAGATTGCAGTAGAAGCATGGGCCCAAATTCGCAAGAGTTATGGCCGGTTGGATTTCGCTCAAACCTTCACTCTTCGACAGCATCTTGCTGAAATAAAACAAGGCAACCTCATAGTCACTGCCTATTTCAATAAACTCTCAACAGCTTAGAATGCTTTGGATGCCACCGAAGCCAAACTTGATGCGCCACAAGAAATCCTCCGGCAATACCAACAACTTCAAGACCATGACCGCCTGAGCAAGTTTCTCCTTGGCCCTCAATGAAGGTTTTCTGCCATTCCGAATATAGATCTTGGCCACCACCTTATCGCCATCATTAAAGAAAAACTTTCAACTTGACGTCCAAGACAAGAGCCAACGGCAACTCATTGTGGATGACCCTTAACACAACAATGTCGGGGTTTTTGCCACAGGCAAAGAGGCACCACCATCCCCAAATTTTTTTTACGACTTAACCAAACTTTTACACATGCAGCTAGGGTTCCAAAATAATAACAGGATGAATTTATATCAATCCTCCAACGGCCCAGATTCAATTCCTCAATCTGACGGCTTAGCACTTATCACTTT